TGGATGGATGGATGGATGGATGGATGGATAGATAGATTAGAGGATGGATAGGTGGATGGATGGATGGATGGATGGATGGATGGATAGATAGATTAGAGGTTGGATGGATGGTTAGATGGATGGATGGATTAGAGGATGGATAGGTGGATGGATGGATGGATGGATGGAGTTATTGGAGGATGAATGGATGGATGGATGGATGGATGGATGGATAGATAGATTCGAGGATGGATGGATGGATGGATGGATGGATAGATTAGAGGATGGATAGGTGGATGGATGGATGGATGGATGGATGGATGGATGGATGGATGGATGGAAGGAGTTATTGGAGGATGAATGGATGGATGGATGGATGGATGGATGGATGGATGGATGGATGGATGGATGGATGGATGGATGGATGGATGGAAGGAGCTATTGGAGGATGGATGGATGGATGGAAGGAGTTTTTGGAGGATGGATGGATGGATGGATGGATGGATGGAAGGAGTTATTGGAGGATGGATGGATGGATAGATGGATGGGTGGATGGATGGATGGATGGATGGATGGATGGGTGGATAGGTGGGTGGGTGGGTGGATGGATGGGTGGATGGATGGATGGATGGATGGATGGATGGATGGATGGATGGATGATGGATGACAACTTATTTATCTTTGCCCTTAACGTGATCTGTAAGGTTGTCCACTAAAATAAAACTGATGTAATTTATTAAGACAAATATTTGAGAGAAAAAAAAGATTGTTTATTTTTTTTACTTGCATTTAAAGCATTGTGTTTGAGGTAATGTTCTCTGTGAGACCCCAAAACAGAGTCAGCAGTGAAGAATTAAAGGGAGAACATGCAACACAGCCTATGAAGTGATCAAAGTAGTGAAATTAGGCAACAAGTTCCACAGAGAACAGCAGCTCTGCTGCTGAAAGAGGGTCAGGAAAGCATGGGTTCTGCAGCTGAGATCAATTGTTGTCCAGTTTTAGCTTTATTCTCACTGTTTGACCAACTCAGCCAGAAATGTCACAAATCAGAGGAATCAAAGGATTACAATTTTAACAGTGAGTTGGATTTCTTTAAATTGACACAAAATAATACTTTTATTTTGAAACTTTGTCAAGCCAGAACTACACAAAAACACAGCCTAAACATTATTATAAAATTTGAAATGCATTTATTTTTTATTATTGGGCTACAAATCGCAGTTTTCCAGCATGCATAGTTTCACATAGTTAAGACACATAAAGTCACAAAGATCTCCCTCATCTGAATTTAGGAACATGCATAATCCTTGGTGTCCATTCTTGAACAGTCTAACAATAACAAAACTGTCCCAATGACACTGTTTTGTAAACTTTCTTTGGCTTTTAAATAAGAAGCTTAAATTGCTTCTTTAAACATTTTAATAATGATGACAAGGAAACTGGGATTACTAAATGTTTGAACGGATCAGTACTAATAATGGATGACAATGATTGTTTAATTCACTTTGAGGTGTTTAAGCTGAACTGTTGAAATAAAATAAATAAAAGTTTCACTTTATAGAAGATTATGTCAGTAAACATACACTTAAACTGAAATGGAGCATCGTCCAAATCCCCTTTTACTGATTCTTACAACACTTTTTAGATCAAGAAGTCATGCAGAGTTAAAAAATGTGAAATTAGTAATATACAGGAAAATAAAAGGTATGTCACAGTATTAAAGTTCAGCAAAAACCTCTTTCTACGTTTGCGTTTGAAGAAGTCTGGAAATAACACGTCTGTCACAGAAAGGGTCACAGATAATGGGGTTAAAGTCAGAGGAAACAAATCAGCGCTACATTACATCACACATAATTACCTGATTTCACCAGGACATTTTACATCAACAGCATAAGATGGAGAGAAACACCAGCCACAAAACACACCCACTCATAAACGATTTGACCGGATGACATAAAATATTTCAGTATTGCTGTTTTTTTTTTGTGCTTATCCTAACCTCTGCATGAAAGCAGAATTAGTAATGTTCGAAACAGATCGTCCTAATTGCTACAATTACAATAAAAGAAGCTGAGCAAAAACAGCTCAAACATAACACCACCTGTTAATCATTGCTAACAAACACATAGAAATGTTGTCTTTAATCAAAAGTATGTTTTTTAACGTTCTTAGCAAAAGTCACGAGTGCAGCCGTTGGTTTTGTTTCTGCTCAGAGCAGCAGCAGCAGCTTGTTGGTAACAGTGATGCTCCTGGCTGTTATTGTCAGCCGTTGTGCTTCAGCGAGGCAGTTTCAGCCCAAGGTTGATATGTTTTATTTTTAGTCTTATTTATTCACAGTTTTTTTTAAAAAAATCCATCCGTTTTTTTTTTCTCTGCTTGGTTTTTGTTTTTTCCAAGAAGGAACGTCTGACCTCTCATCGAGACATCATCCGCACAAATTCTGTGAATTAAAGAAAAATATAGATAGTTTACATATTCAAGCCATGGATAAATTAAATGCATATACCCTTAAATATTTCCACAGTCTTTCATGCAAGATTGAATAATCAAATGTTGAAAAATGAGAGAGTTTGCATATATGTGTTATACAGATGTGATGTTCACAAACGATTCAAATCTTTTGAATGGCTCCTTACAACAAACAACAGGAACTGAGTTGTGGACACTAAAGAGGCTTTTGTCATTTTTTTTCTCCTCATAAAATCTTATTTTTATCCTCCTCCTTATCCACAATCACACCCGATTCGTTTTTTCACAGCAAACAGGCAAACAGGAGGAGTACAGCAGCTCAGGGGGAAGGGGGAGGGGACCTCTGCTTGACAAAACACATATTACCCATGTGACGTGATGACATCATCGCACACGTGATGACACGTTTCCCTAAGTGATGACGTGACTTGTTCAAAATTGAGCGTCTCTTTTGAATGGCTCTAAATTTGGATTCCTTCGTAAACCCATTCATCTCAATGTGCTGTGAATAGCTCACAGCTATGTCCACATTGGATTAATTTTTAAAGCAGTAAATTGTCTTGCACCTAAAAAAAAGTAGAATGGGAGGCAGAGCTTTCAGTTGTCAAGCTCCTCTCTTATGAATCAACTTCCAGTTTCTGTCTGTGAAGCTGACACTCTGTCTACTTTTAAGACTAGACTGAAGACTTTCCTTTTTGATAAATCATGTAGTTAGAGTTAGGTTTCCTGAATTATTCTTCATTTCTGCTGCTATAGACTGCTGGAGCACAAACTGAGCACATTTTTTCACTCTGCTGTTGTCTTTAGTCTCTCTTCTTTAAATGTTTATTGTAATTATTTCTACCATGTTTTTTCATTGTCTTCCAGAAGAAGGTGCACCTGGTCCAGTCCCGGGCCAGTTCTTCTGTGTTTACCTGTGTCTCTTTCCTGTCCTCCAACCAGCCGGTCGAGGCAGATGGTCGCCTGTCCTGAGCCTGGTTCTGCTGGAGGTTTCTTCCTGATTAGCAGGGAGTTTTTCCTCTCCGCCGTTTGCTCAGGATGGGAGACTGTGATGAAGTGATTCAACGCAGCCTGCTGGTTTCTTCTTTAAATTATTCTTTTTATGTACAGTGCCCTGAGACAACGTATGTTGTGACTTGGTGCTATATAAATAAACTTGAACTTGAACTCACAGAGGTGACACACCTCTGTACCACCTCCTTTTTTCTCAGGTCAGCAGACCAGCTGCTCCTGAGTGTCCCAACAACCATAAGCTCCGAGGGGGATAATGGTTTTTTTACTACTGCTCCTAAAATGTGGAAGGATCTGCCTTTGGGCATCAGGCCTCCTCCCAGTCTGGTTTTAAACAACTTCTCTTTGACTTTTGGCACCAGATGAGGTGTTAAATTTTAGTTTAATTTTAGTTTATTTAAGATGGTTCTATTTATTATTATTGTTTAAATTATTTGTCTGTTTTAGTTTTCTTTCAGGCTTTTCTTAAGCATTACTGCTGTTGTGTTTTATTTACTGTGACTGTACGGCAGCACTTTAGCCCTATTGTTTAGAGTGTTTTACAAATAAAACTTGTATGGTACATTAAATTTGAGCTCAACATATGTTGAAGCCATTTTTGTGTTGACAAATGTGGATACCCATCTTGAACTAGATTTACCCCAAGCCCACATCTGGTGCAGTGGTTTTAAAAATGTTTGGGTCTGGGATCCCCTTTCAAGGGTAAAATATTTCCCCTCATGTAACCCATGATGTTTTAAGAATGTATAATAATTCCATTTTAACCCCTAAATTCCATGAGAATATTATTTTTTGTTTGGTTTAGTATGTTTGTTTTACTTGTGCACTGTTCCCCACTGTTATCTATCTTCATGCCATTATACTCTCAACCATGTCATACTGTTTACCTGTTTGGTCTCTTACAACAAATGAAATCTTAGAACCCATAGTTAGGCTCTACAACAGGGCCTACAAAATTCATAAAATACTTCCTGGTTGGACTCATCACGTACAGTTCTTTCATTGTCTGATGCCTTGACTTTTCAGAATTATGTTTTGTATAGTGGTATTAATTTATATTTTCAGATCTTCCAAGGTGCCAATTACGGAACTCTCTGTGCATTGCTGCCCAAATCAAATTCTGGAAGTGGTCATTCAACTAGATCTGTTACAAAAGGACAACTGATATTACCATCTTTTAAAATCTGTTATGGCTAGAGGTCTTTCTTCTATGTTTATACTAAAGCATGGAATGACATTCCTCAAAACATAAAGTCCATTTCAAAACTACAGCCCTTTAAGAAGAATCTTGTCTGCCATCTGCTGGACACTTTTTGTTGTGCTCATATTTAGACGTCCTATTTTGCAAATGCTGCCTTTTTGAAATTTGGTATGCTTGTTTGTCTTTGTGTCAATGGTGTATAATGATGTGATTGTGATGCTGTATTTCTGAGTGTTTTATGTGCTGTAGAACAGGAACCTGTTGTAAAACAGCAATTATATTGAAATTTTTTGAGATAGATATGGCTTACGGACCCCAGTTTGAGAACCACTGATCTAGTGAATGCTCTCTTCAAGTTTCTTTAAAATTAGTCTTGTGATTTAGAAATTATTATGCTAACAGACACACAAAGACAAAAATCAATGTTCTTCACCTTTTCTTTCATACACCTGGGCAAAATCTACATGTACCACTAGTAAGGCTAAATTATTTTAACCTGTAATATATATTGTGCTATTGTGAAATTATTTGGTTGGATTTAAAATAAAACTAAAAAAGTGTTCCCTGAATAAGAACAACTGTCTACAACCAATGTTCTCAACATCAGGATGAAGTGTCTCAAATACACATTAATTTATAATTATAAATTTAGGAGAGGAGACATGTAATAAGTTGAGTAGTGACATTTCTCAAAAAAGTAAAACCAACTGTAAATAGAACATAATAAAACATAATTATTTATAGTAGACCAATATCAGAAGGTGATATTCTAACTCCTGTATTGATATATTTCTCAAATAACTTATATAAGACAACAACATAACAAACGTCTTGAAATTTTGTTGTTGCTTTTGGTTTTGTTGCCCCTCCACACCACATTAAAAATGTCTAGAGGTGCCACGGCTCATTCATGCGTGAACATCTCTAAGCCAGCATGATTACACAACTGGACCTTATAATTTGTAGCAAAATGCTGCCTAAATTTCTTCACTGGTGAAATGAACTCAGAACAAAGCAAAATAAGAAATTTTGTTCTTGAACGTGAAGTGGAACAAGTGAAAAAATAAAATAAAAATAAACAGGACGTAATATTTAATTTACCCCCTGCAGCCTGTGTGTAGGTATGTAACAAAAACTGTGTGCATCTTATTCTCAGTGGGTAACAAACTGAAGTGAGCAAATCCCTCAGCAGAGAGATAATCTGATTCCTTCAACTCCTCATCTCAGCATTAACAGATCCAGGACAATCCCAATGAGATTTAAATAAATGTGAATGTGTGTTCCAAGTGTTAAAATAACAAAAAGGGTGCCAAAGGATCACGTGTTATGTTGTAATGAGGACACGCTGCGGTACCTTCAAAGTCTACGTGCCCATCTCCGTTGAGATCGATGTCTCGAAGAATTTCCTCCAGATCTCTGTGTCCGACCTAAAAACACGTCGACGAGGGAAAGTGTGAACCTCTGCGGCACAAACTCAGACTGCATTTGGAAGAGACAGACAGAAATCAGGCAGACACTGATTGATGGAGCTCTGCACCTGCTGTCCAAGTAGTTTTTTCATGGCTTCTCTGAGTTCAGCTGTGCTGATCTGACCATCACCGTTGGTGTCAAACTGAAAAATTAGACAAACAAAGTGAACATTAAATCAAGCAGATGTTCAAATGTTGCTAGAGTTCTGTGTTCACACAATAAATCCAGCTACATTAGTTAAATTTTCTATAAATAAATTTTGTGACAACTCCTGCTTGGAGGCTGTAAATTCCTCACCTCCTTGAACGCATCTCTGAGTTCCTTCACCCCTATCATGTCCGCTGTTTCCGCCAGAAGTTTAGGCCCCATAAGTTCAACAAAATCTTCAAAGTCAACATGTCCTCCCACTGTTAGACAGACATAAAAAACATTTAACCTCAATTTTAACCTCAAACAAACACAATGTTTTTGTTGTCAATAGTGTCAACTATAGCAAAGCAGTCAGGCTGCGGTCTGGGCTGCCCCTCCTGCTGGTTTATCTGGGGGCCCGCTGCTACTCAGCCCCCCGGTTGGGTGTGTGCTGGCCTGGCCTGGTGACTGCCTGCTGGGGCTCGGGGCCTTTGGTCCTGTCGGGCTTTGGCCTGGAGGGGGTGCGCCCTGGGGGCCTGGACCTCTGTGCCCTTTCCTGGATCTGCTCTGGTATGGCGGGTGCCGGTGGGGCCCA